GTAGTGCCGATTACCAAACCCACAAGGAACGAGAGACTGGTTGGCGTGATTGGGAGCTGATCCAAGAGTTGGCCTACGACCGTACACATGGAATGCGACATTTTTCCCTCTAAACCGCTTCCTCCCAATAAATTTATTTTCTTCCTTGTGAACTCGACACGTTAGCTTCTTCACTTGGTATTATTGTGCCTCACGCGATGGAACACTTTACGTACAGCCCCGTCTTAGGTAGGTGACGCTAGAAAGCTGGAGTCCGCATCTGGGATCTCATGCATTGGATTCCCAGATCAGCTAGCAAACACGTTGCCCTAACCGAGAGTGAAACGGGCGCTCGCTCAAGTACAGGCCATACCTGGAGCTCGGAATATATCCATGTCTCTGAAGAAGACGACTACGTCAAAACCTTTGTCTGCAATTACTCTACATTCGTCATCCGGGCAGTTGATTAGGCGGTCGGCGAAGGGTCGCAGACGCGGCTGCAGCAGCGACCGCGTACGCAGGAACTGTTGGCGGCGATCAGCTGTTTCCGGCCTGGTTTAGTCATTTTCTCCCTACTTTTCACTGTTTTTGGCTGCTTTTCTTAGGTTAGTTATTCCTTGTCTTCACAAGGTAAATTATGATTGAGATTTCTCTAATTTTTGCGAACAATTTAACAGTTAAACAATACTTAAAAAACGCAAAAACACTTCATTCCAAAAACAGAAAAGAATCCAGGGAGAAAGCGGCTAAACCAGGCTGGAAACAGCTGATCGCCGTAGTCGTGACGCGCCGCAGCCGCATCTGCGATAAAATATGGTAGGGACAAACTGCGTGAAAAGTTCATGAATACTATCGTAGTTCTTTCTAATCTTTTACCTAAACAGCAAGGGGCTACAATCTGTAACAGACGTGGTACGCATGGTAGTTTCCTTTCCAGACAGAATAACTACTAATTAAAGGCAGCATGCGTTTATCTGATGTTCACACCCTTCGTTGGACAAGCTAGTCCTGCCGGCAAGGAGGACGATGTACTAGTTGCGCAGCTTAAATACGTGAGGAAAGTGCGACGAGGATACGGGTTCCGCCCACTTGCCACGGTAACGCCCAACTTTCATTTTTAACTGCTGCTTGATGGGGCACTTGTTCCACTGCCAACACTTTCCATTCCGAATAGTGAGAGTGAGGTGGATAAGTAGAAACATCTGATACCAACGGGAAATCGTCCGAACACGCCCTTTCAGGGCCTCAAACTCGTACAACTATGGTTCAGCATGGGGTTTTACATGGGTCTGCTTTTTTTGTTTTTTTTTCTGCTTTTTCCTTCCATTTAATGTGTTTTCCACTATTTCCAAAATTCAGCATTCCACCAACTTCTATTTTTTGTGTACATTTAATTCGGAACAGTGCCCAGAAACACCTGAATATTTTGTTCGGAGAAATAGGAAATATTGCTGTTACCTATCCAACAAGGTCATTGTGAACAGAAAGAGTACAAAAGTCTGGGGTTCACTCCTTGGCATTCCCAGAAGGAAAGCGATGCATACTCCTGCGATTCTCGCATCACTCCGCAGCATGCAACAAACAAATTTCGCAAATAGATACCACGACCTAAAAGAACTCCCAGTAAGATCACGCAGGAAAATTCAGTCGACCATTTGCAGGTGGAATGGTTCTCACGTTGAAAGAAAGGAAGGAAGCCGTGCCTCTACACCTTTCTACCTCCCAGCGTCTTCTCCTTAAAGACACTATTCCACGTGTTCACCCGAAACGTCGGCCTCCAATTTGCCAAGAACGACAGAAGTCGAACTCATGTTGCTGTTTGCTCCCAGTGGATAGTGGATATAGGGGTTGCAATACAAAATCTGTCCTTTCACTTCGGAGGAGCTGTGTATCAGTAAGAGCTGAGGCTACATTCGAAAAACTGGTTAGATTCCATATGGTTCTCACTCCAAGTGCCAAGAAATATTATGACCTAATTTGCTCACAGTCCCCTACTGTTACTAGAGACCTTTGCCCACTCGAACAACACGGGCAGAAAGTGAACAAAGAAGTGGTCGAAGCTTTCAAAACGTAACCGCTAAACAAAGTGCGGATGAGAGCAGCAGCAACTTGTTCTGACCCTCACCTCGTATTTCTTCGCATACGTGCGAAGAACCATCATTGTGACCTCATTTGAAGGCTTCTGTGTCAACAGACGGAACTTCACGTTATGCTCGGCTTGATGGATGTCGCATGTGAGAACGAAACATCGGCATGGCACCTTCATTTCCTTTGCTAATGCTGTATAGCGGCTCCTGAGTGAAGTAGATACAACGTCAAGTGTAGAAATTAAAGACGACGAACAATTTCTGTACCTGGCTTCCTTATCTGGATTGGTATTGTCCACCACAGCGCTCTTACCAGATCTCAGGTGAGCTCGAGCATGTTCGCAGCACTTCTGCCAAGTGCCCAGCGTGTCACGGTTCACCACCATGTAACCGTGCTCGGATTCTAACTTCCGAGCAAATGTTGACTTTCCTGATCCCGGAAAACCAACAATTACAATCACTTCTTTTGTTGGCGATGGTAAAGGAGTATCTGAAACAAAGACGAAACACGAATACCGCAGTTAGTGCTAATATTCACTGGAAGTGTACCTAAAACAATGCACAGCGTTCGATGGGGATTTCCTAGGGGGGGGGGTCGTATGAGGCCGCCAAAAGGGGGGGGGTCCGACGTACATCGTACGAGCAGGGGGGTCGTACCAGCTCCTGAAACAAGGTGGGGTATGCGTCGTAAAGCTCAACCAAAATCCCCCGAATATGTGCCCTACTCAAAATCCCTGAGATCGGGTAGGCGTGGCCGCATGTTTCAACTTAACCTGAAGGTGTCTATGCTTCTGGTGAGATATTTTCATCTTGACACTTGTTGTCGTGTCTCTGTCCAACACAGAACAAGATGACAGTTGTCCCAGACTGGAATATTCCACGAGTAACCAGTTCCGTGCCATGTTCAAATGCCACGCCTACTCTGACTCAGGGATAAGGAATGTAACTCGCACTTTTCTTCTTCTTTTCACAGTTTTTCTCCGAGAAGACCAAGAGTAGAGAGATCTGTCGAAATCAACGAAATGTGAAGGATCTGTGAAGATCAACGAAATTTGAAGGGACCTGTCAAATTCTGCTTTTGCTGTTTCCCACAAACACTTTGACTGGAAACCACCGTGCATTCACACATGGCCGACTCCGCCCATTCTCTAAAGGGTTTGGCATCTAGGCTGACCACGCCCACTTGCTTTTCGCGGAATTTCGATATTTTTTCAAAATTTTTGCATTTTAGGGTTGCTGCGTGAAGCCCCGCCCACTGTGAGATGCTCCGCCCACTTTGAATAAGCCCCGCCCACTTTTCAAAAATGGTGCAAATCGGCAGTATAGAGACTTGGCTTGCATGCTAGGGTATTGCTGATCATTCGGAATAAACTTTGCCGGATTTTCTTGTTCCGAGTGACGTACGAGACCCTAACATGCAAGCCAAGTCTCTATACTGCCGATCTGCACCATTTTTGAAAAGTGGGCGGGGCTTATTCAAAGTGGGCGGAGCATCTCACAGTGGGCGGGGCTTCACGCAGCAACCCTAAAATGCAAAAATTTTGAAAAAACATCGAAATTCCGCGAAAAGCCAGTGGGCGTGGTCAGCCTAGAGTGCCAAACCCTTTATGGGCGGAGTCGGCCATGTGTGAATGCACGGTGGTTTCCAGTCAAAGTGTTTGTGGGAAACAGCAAAAGCAGAAGTTATGAAACGAGAATCTATGTCCGCGCTGACAAGTGGGCGTGGCCGTCCAGGCGGGGCTCTCACAAGGGAGGTCTTTGAGGTCGTGGCGCGTTTTTTAAAAATGGTTTGTTGCTTGTTGTAGGGGTCCATGCAAGGTTTACAAAAATGGGTTTCATTTTTGCTATGCGTTTCTGGGGAGGTCAAAAACTGAGTGAAAACAATTTGACGAGAAATCGCGATTTTAACCGTGTTAATGGGCTCTGTTGTAGCTGTAACTTTGACAGTGCATAATTCATGAGGTGTCCCTTCACTATGTATTGAAAAGATAGCAAAGTAAAGCCAATAAGAAAGTGGACGGAGGGGAGTAATACCGAAGTTACTTGAACGATTCTCGCAACCGCTGTTTCGCGGTCGGCGGATGGCGGAGTGGATAGTGCGGTGGGCTCTCGCGAAGAAGGTTCTTGGATCGGATCCCCTTGGCGACTAACTCTTTGCATTTTTCGGATACTTTATACGTTTTTCGGTTTTGGATTTACGACACCCATTTTTGACCACGGCGCAGCCTAGCGCCGACTTGCTGCAAGAGCATTCTTCCACCATGAATTTTGCCAACCAGCAGCACGGTGTTAAGCGGCTTCTCGCTCGAGACAATTTTGCTAAGCGTCCTGTATCTGAGAGGTTATTTAATAGCCCTGATGACGATTCTGACCTTTAAAATTGGCGTCTAGGTCATTTGGCGCCAACATGGCTCTGAACACCCCCTCACGCCAGCTGCGGGTTGGGATGCTGCGAGAATCTCTTGAGAAACTACAATGCTGCCTCACTATGTGCCAAATAAAGTACTTTTACCTGAATGCGTATTGTTTTCGTGCATGTGCACCGAAAGCCCTCATCTGCTATGCATACTTAACATTATGAATAGAAAAAGCCTCGGAAAAATGGTTCAAAATCGCTTCTCCCCAGCAAACTTTGCACTCAGTTTTTGACCTACCCAGAAACGCATAGCAAAAATGAAACCCATTTTTGTGATCCTTATTCGGACCTCTACAACATGCAACAAATCATTTCCGAAAAGCGCGCCACGACCTGAAAGACCTCCCTTGTCAGTGATGTCTGGCGTGATCTGTGAGTTGCCCGCCCTAACAAGTGTGGTTAACTTGATGAAAAGTGAGGGTGAATTGTTTGAAAAGGGGTTCTCCGGAATTTGGTTTGAAAAAGGGTGAATTTAAAGTGAAAATGGTATATATCCGGCGGAGGCGGTGTGGTGATAAGTGACCTCGCTTACCACGCGCATGGTCCAGGAGTCAATTCCTGGATGAGTTTCAGCCTCGGCAACAGAGCCATTCATTCATCCGACCAATCCTCGCTCGTCATTTCATAGCATGTATCGCATTCAAAAAGCCACTACATTCTGTAGGAAGTAGAGTGCGTGGCATATTCTGGTTCTCACTTAGTCTGCCAAGGAAAAGTAGCCAGGTTCTGACCGGACGGGCATTGCCAAAACTGTCACGGTACCCTCGATCAGCCCCCTTCGAGAACCCGATCAGATATCATGCTTGGTTGCTGGTGAGGGGGTCGTAGAAGAAGAGAATTTGGGGAAGGGGCGAACTGAAACCGCCACCAATCATGATGCTTCACCCTGAACCCCATGCTTCTTTACTTCGTCTACAAGAAACAAGGAATAGGAGCTAGCTCTCTGGAAGACAGCAAGTTTTTAAGCTTTCAAAGTTACGTGAAAGGCTTATCAGTTGTTTGTTCGACTCACCTTCCGGCTCCAGCAAAGGTTTGTTCATGCTAAAAAACTGAACAGGATCGAAGGAGGGCGGTCCCCAAGGCTCAGATTCGTCCCGGTCGAGGAAAAATTCCTCGGGAGTCTGGAACTTGAGACCGACGTTGGCAGCGAAAAAACGATCTGCGCAGGAGTGATCCTTTTTTGGACGAGCCTACAAAGTACTGAACGTTACTGTAACTCTCAAGAAGTTATTCCCGTGAACAGTAACGAGTACTTTGGTCTTATGTCTGCCCGCTGCATCTCCCACATAGAGGGATTTGCTGACATCTATGGCAACTTCACCATTTGCTTCTTCCAATTCCTTCCACATTCCGGTACAAGGTTTTCGATAGTGGCCTTCTCCAATTGATACAAATGCCTATAAAACGCTGTACTTAATAGGACGTTTCCTCAGGCACGAAAAACGTGATGAGGTGAAAAGTCATACCTGAGCTGGGACTCCGAGCTTGGTAATTATAGTTTCCACTTTACGCTTGAAACCATTTTTATCGACTTTTCCACTCTAAAATGCGGTAAGAAAATTCTTTCAAGTTGATAATTTCAAGCAAACATCAATCCCCAGTTAAAAAAACGAAGCAGTATGATATAAGAGGTTAGTTTAGTTTTAAGATTCAATGCTCCATATGGGGTGGAGGTGGTGCAGTGGCAAGAGGTGCTTCTCAGACTTGTAAGGATGAAAAACAATGACCTCCACTCAATGATTTGTACGTTGGGTGGCCGCGCAAGCCATTGTGAGCCACGCCAATCCGAAAAAATCTACAATTTTGAGTAGAAGAAAGGCGCATCCAAAGCAAGGGATGATCAATGCCGAAGGCTTTGTACCTCTTAAACCTTGCTCCACATCACAATGTCGTGAGTATATGAAGCTCTGCAACATGGAGATAACAACCTAGATTACTTTACCTTCCGGTAGAATTTCAAAATGTCATAATCGATTACGTCTCTGAGAGTTACAGCTGTTCGCTGCGGATGTCGCGCGAAGCGTGTCATGGGGGGGAGGGGGAAGGTTGCCATCCCGCTAGCCCGTTGTTCTTCATTTTTTTCTTTCGACAAGCCCGGACTGAATCATGTCGTTCTTCGTGCCACTCGCTTTGCACCAGTTCTTGACGCTTACTTGCTTGAAAAACTGGCGGAGAACGGGTTGGTGGCGCCCCGACCCAACCTCTCTGACACACCCCTTCATCAGCAGTAAACAGACTTTATGTTAAACACAGAGCTGTACCGAGAAAACTGGAAAAACAAGGTTCCGAAATTGTGTAGATTTTCAAAAGTTCTAAAGAAGATAAGCAAGCGTTTGTTCGCCAATGAGTCAAAATCGAGAAGTTCTTGTAAACCATTGAATGTACCGTAACCCGAATACCTGGATGCCTTTTTGATTAGTAAAAATGACAATCTTGAAGTTTTCTTCATTGTACAGCTTCTTCAAGTGCGGTGAAATCTTGTCGTACATTATCCTCCAGTCGGAATTGTCCACAGGGAACACTTTACCGGATTTCGTCGTTATTAACGTACCATCTGAAATGAAGAACTTGCACTAGAGAAGAACATGAATATTGAACCAAAACGCTGAAAGCCTGTCTCACCCATATCGAAAGCAGCCACTTTTTCCCGAGGTTCGCAATCCGTGTGAGTGAAGATGAGGATAGTATCCGAATGTTTTCCTTCCCATGTCCCTAATTTTTCTTTTGATTGACCAAACATATCTGCAAAGGGGAAATGAACGATAAGCTTAGGATGAACCGTGATGGTACAATGAAACAAAGCTAACCGGGTAACGGCGCAGTTCGGCAGGGCAGCAGTGGAAGGGGGGGGGAGGGGGGGGGGGAGGTAAGGGGGCACATTGCACTTTCGTCACTGATTCTGGTTTACAGGCTCGGTCTGGTGAAACCTGCTAACTCTTGTCAAGCTGGAACCAAGCTGGTCGAGCCACCATGGCAAATGGTACTAGTTTGGCATTCGTTGCTTTACAAGAGTCGACAGATGGTCTCTACAAGCTTTAGCTGGCATCATTTCGTGACTTCTCAAGATTTCACGTCTCCACCCAATTGCTTCACAAGTCGATCGGATGTAGCAAAAATGCAGAATGTTCTCCAACCCCATGAAGAACTGCGCCCAAGAAACTTCTCAGATAAGATTGAGCATTGCAATGCCACTAGTTCTGCGCGACCACTAGTTCTGAAAAAAGGAACCTACGGCAAATCCCCTAAACCACCGTGATAACCCAACTTTCGATCTCCAATTAAGTCATGAAAGACATTTGAAGAACTCCCCCTCATCTACTAATAATGAGCTTCACTAGGGAAAAGAGACACTGTAAAACTTTCGATTCCAAGGAAATTCTTCAGTTGGTATCTGGGGAGGGGACAGAGCAAAAGCTAAAGAACCTTAATCGACGAATTGAATTCAACGCTAGAATTGCCTACTTACCGACGCCAGGGTCCTTCACTTTTCCTTCAGCTGTTCTCTTCATAATGTAGTGCACACGGCGCGCTCTCAACACCAGCAGTGGAACGGTTCGCACTTTTGGCTGTTTGGCTAATATTACCGGTATTCATTGTAAAGCAAGTTCCACATCAAAGGAGAGGTAAAGTATACAAAATACTGTACAAAGAGCACACAACTCCACGTTGAACACTTCATTCAGCAAACCAAAACAATATACATGAAACATAACTAATCTATATAATACGGGCATAAAAAGTCATTTCTTTGACCCTCTAAGCAAAGCTCGTTTTCCTTGTCCGATTGGTGGTCGCACCACCTTGCCTCGAAGAATCTTTAACTCGTCTTGTACCTAAAATAAAAGAAGTTCAGAAGAAGTACGCACCACAAAGTTCGTAAATCCTTGATCCATGATCCACTTGCTACCTCAATTTCAGACTGCTTAATGTGAAACTTTTGCGTTCGGAACACTGCCAAGTCTTATCCAGACCACTCTGGTATGTTTACTTTTCCTTGAAGACAAACTGGACACACACCGCCGTATCCTGATCCCTGCCATGTTTGCGGTGAATGGGAGCGCAGCTGCAGTAGCGGGCCTTTTCTCCTGTCACAAGTGCACGGGAATGGGGCTGGAGAGTGGTGATACCCTAGTGCCTCTCTATACTCCTCCGCGCCGCCAAATGGCCAGCCACACGACTAAACGCGCTACTCACCTGTGCCCTCTCAATTCCGGTTGTTCTCTACCAATCATTACATGTGTTGCTGCGGGAACTTGGTATCGACGAAATTGCTGCAAGCGAGAAGAAGCAGAAAAGTAGTGCATTCCGCTATGATAAGGTATGGAGTAGGCTGTAGGTTACGCAGTCGGACCCGGGATGGAGCCCAGGTATGACTACCCTTGAGCCTCATTTATGCGCTTCTGAGCGGAGAAAGTATAATAGCACGCTGATGCAGCTGCGGAGCCATTCACGTCTCATAAGGCAAGGACCAGGATTCACGGAGGTGAGTGCTCAAATTGTTTTGAAGCTTGACAGAGTTCTGAACAGATAGAACAACTCGCGATGTTCTGTGTGGGGATATGTTGAAAGTTATATATTCACAACTGTTAGAGGCGTAGCAATACTGAATTACTTATAGAAGAACCAATTTCAAAAAACTAACCTGTCGGAATACAACATGCTCATCGAATAAGAGGCCGTGGAATCGAAGCATCTTGGTGAGGTAGTGGAACATGGGTAAATTAGGGTAATACTTAACCGAGAGTTGTTCTTTAGTTTCGTCCGGTTCTGCAGACATGACGCGAACAACCTAGATAAAGTACAGTTAGGAGGTATCGACCTTTCCCATGACGTATGATATGACGCAGAAAAACTTGGGTTACATTGGCATCGGTTTCCCTTTTCGGTCACTAGCTCTACCTAGTTAAGACAAGTAAGCTTGCTATCGAACCAGTGTACCAAAAAAAGGCCGCATCAAAGTGGAAAGTAGCAAGGTTAGAGCAGAATTCAGGCCTAGATTTCTTCTAGAGATCCTTAAATGAACGGAAGAGAAAAGCATGTAGACATAGTATGCGATTTTGTCTGCGTATCTCGTTGAACAATCGGAGATGGGGCAATGAATATGCTTCACAAATGTTCAATACAGGCGCTACCAAGCCTGAGTCTCCGTTATAGCTGCATTTTGAGGGCAGCTTTGCGCAATCCTCGATTTCTGAGGCA